CGAATCTCCGCCATCCCGATATGGACCATTGTGAAATGCTCGAGTTCCTGCTTCCTACGCAGAGTCTCACATTGGTATTGATATTGATCAAGCTAAATTCACTCGTGAATTGTCTCTGTCGTCCTCTGCTTGATTAAAGTGTTCTATTCGAAGTATAAGTTCCAATAGCTTGAATTTCAAAAATTCTCGGAGTACAAAGGGTTAAGGGGCGGACGTCATATTCGCTTTGCCCCGCGCATTGTCAATCTCTTTAAAAAAATATTGAGCCTGATATTGTTTGGATACCATCACATATTGAAATACCTGGTAATGAAACAGCAGAGAAGTTGCAATACAATGCCTGCACCTCTTGACAGCCGTACACAAAATTACGAAACACAATGAATGAAACGGAAAACGTTATAAAAATAGTTGTTAAAAATAGCGAAACCAACAATGGACCAGCACGATTACAAAATAAAAACTGCATCAAATACATAAATCAACGAAAGAAACTATTTCACTACATCCAACAAGAAAGCTACAAACTACATTATCAAGATTAAGAATAGGATACGCTAACTTGGCACATTAATATTTAATAACAGAGTCAGAACTACAAAAATGCAACCACTATAATGCTACTCTCACCGTGCAATTCTGAATTGAGTAATGCGAGGAACTGGAGCAAGGCCAAAGGAATTTAAATATCTCAAAGATTTTGGAGAGGGTACTAAATAATACAAACGAATTCTATAAATTTATGAAGTCAATAGTCAACCACTATTTATTAGCTTAAATATAAAGATAACGTTTGAATATTCTACTGATTACTTTTGTTCTTGCGGGTCAATTGTGGTCGCTAATAACCTTGACGTTAATGCGACCTTAAATAAAACCGCGCATGGATGCGTCTATTAAAATTGCCGTGGCTCTGGAAACGAACAGAAAAGATGAAAACAAATATTGATCACCGTCGAGCAAACGTAAATTTGGACGGCGATATTTAAGTTCAGAGTCTCGACGCGAAATTGATTCCGGGACGCTATCGCGTCGCCGTCTGGGGATTCTATACAGGCATTGTTCACTTTGTCGTGAAACGCGTAGATTTGAAACGCGAACGAGTTGGCCGGCCATCCGCAGGATCGTTTGACGCTTTTCAACCAAGAGGGTGTCAGCCAATCGAGCCGCGCTGGAATTGCCTTTGAAGCTGATCGAGTCCGTTCTAAACCGTAAACGAATAGGCACCTGGGTGCCAAAGGTATCGGTGTTTTGTCACCGATGAAACCCTTACAGGATTTCCAGCCAAGAAAACGACGCCAGCTTAACAACTGTAACGTTAGTGGGTTCTTGTAACTCTACGAATACCAGGTTGTCTTATCACGTTGTTTATGTTTCAGAATAAATAACAATCCTAGGAAGATCTCGCACTACAAAGGAAACACCAGTAATGTGTAATGGCTGACCCAGAGAAATAATCCACAGTATCCAATCAAGTTCTAACATACTACAGTTCTTGAAACACGTTAAAATGATTGACCTTACATAATTTATTAATTATTGTAATGTGTTTCTACATATTCCTGTGCAGCGGGATACACGTAACCTTAAAAATCTAATTAAAAAAAGGATAAACTTATAGTAACAGTAGTATTGATATGGTGGGGACACTATCTAATAGAAATTAATTTATGAAATCATGATATAAGCTATTGATAAGCATTGATCCAGCATTGATAAACTACGTTTGCTCGATGAACTTGACTATACAGAGTGTTCAAAAAAAGCATTCAATATTTATATGGTGTATAGGGCACACTGTACTGAGTAAAAAAGCTTTAGTAAGCATAGGTCCAAAGGTCAATCGTTTCTGAGATATAAACATTTTTGTTTGCTAGTATCATGATTGACTTACTACTGGGTTTTCGATATTTATAGAAGATTTTCTGCTCATTTCTGTACACGAAATTGAAAAAATGAAATTGACGAAATTGTCGGCACTTGAATGGAAGCATTCAGAATGCAATTTATAAACACTGACATAAACATCGCATGCGATGGAAGCAAGCAAGTTAATTATGATACTAGCAAACCAAAATGTTTATATCTCAAAAACGGTTGATCTTTGGACCTACGTTTACTAAAGCTTTTTTACTCAGTACAGTATGCCCTATACACCATATTGAATGCTTTTTTTTTAACACCCTGTATTTCTTCTGTAACTATACAAAGTAATTCTGTCCAAAAGTTTAAGGAATACTTAATATAAAATCGGTGTACATATATTCGCGTACCAGATCTGAGCATTTTTGAAATGATATTATTTCAAATAATAATTTAAATAACACGTTATTTTATTTCATAATTATGTTGATACCTGTGATCACTTTTAAAATAACATATTATTAGGTCATTCCATAAGTTCGTGCTGCAGTCTGTGTCAATATTTAATAAAAACACTATAGACATTTTATAATGACGTATAATGACTATGTCAGAAATGTGGGAAAATAATATAAAACGAAAGAGATTACCTCATTTTATAACACTTAAAGGTACGTTTCGCATATTAATTTGAGTAGCAAAAGAATAAGTAGGATGAACATGTGGGACGTACTTTATTTTATATTTATATGAAATTGTAAAGTTGTTCTTCAAAAATTTATCAGGTGAAATGACATGTTCGTGACTTAAAGACACGAGATAAATTCCTATAAATTTCAAATGAATTTTTTTTAAAAGACTCGTTTCTTATACCTATTTCGAACAGTTATGAATGCGTAAATATCCGCAGTCTAGTGATAAGTAATATTTTAGCTAAATTCAATCGAACCCAGTTTGTCGAAGTTCGTTAAGCGTCTCGAACAATTGCACGAATTCCTATCTTGCGAGACAGTGTATCGGGTCTGTTGGGCCGGGAGTATTGATAACGTGTTATCTGAAACATCGTGGATGCAATATCTACGAGCGTGGTTCTTGTTTGCAGTGGGCACGATAAGAAGGGCTCCGAGTCGCGTGTCGTACGTGCACGACTTCCGAAGACGAGAAATGGCGGCGTTTCGATAAAGCAACGAGATTAGTATCTCGCTTGTATCAGGGACGAAACGTTGCTTATTTCGTAGCACACATGCTGCACCGATTCCGGACGTGCCAGATTCAATGGCGACCATGATGCCGAGTTTCCGGCACGTACGAACCTCAGCATTGTTGATCACTCGTCGTTCATGATACGCGCGAGATACCGTCGAACAAAGTAAAATCGATATCTACCGTTCACCGACGACATACGTCGTCTGCACTCGGCGGGTGCTTTTCAAAAACATGTCTAATTTGAAATTGTAAACAGGCATTTGGTTGGTGTCGAAAACACCTTGTAAAATATCAAATTGTACATGTAATTGTAGTGGAGTTTGTGGACATGATAAAAAAGTTGTAGATCAGTTTTTTAAGATTCGTACTCCTGCGAACTGACTTAGTTAGTAAAAGAATTATTTTAGCAAACCTCTTAGAATAGAATTGTGTTTTGATTATTTGGAAATGATTTAGGATTAATTATGGGATGTCTATTCATGCATGTTTATTAGATGTTTTCGGTTGTTTATGTACTAGTGTACTTTGGTTATTTAACTGGGTCAATTTTGACCCATAGGACTCCATATACTCCTGTATACCAAGTTTGAGGTGTCATAGCTCAGCGTAGAATTGTCCGATTCAATTCTAACAAAATTCAAATTGAAGAACGGAATTTGAATGATCTAATAATAGATTGTTATGATCATTGTTAGATACCCTTAAACATTTGTTTTATTTATTGCTATACTGGCCAGAAATATAATCCTGGTGTAGTAATTGCACGCTGGTAGTTAACTTCCGGTTCCAGGCAAGTAAATATTAGTATCAAGGGTACCACAGAATACTATAATTATAGGATATAGGATTATAGGATACTATAATTGAAACGTTAAAACTAAATACACAAATTCCAAAATAATAATATGTTTTAATCGAGGCAGATTTAATTGAGCAGGAAGTGGGCCGGACGAAGCCGGCATTTAGATACATAAGTTATCCTGATGTTTTTCTAAAATTCACGTTAATAAGGTTTATCAAGAGTGACTTTTTCGTTCGACTCGAAGACAGTTTGAAAGGCATTTAAAGAATAATTCTTATATGAGAAAGTGCAAAAGTTGCAGGACTCTCGAGAGTGTAGCTCTAAATCGACCGTTATATCCAACGAGTCGTGTTTCCGTTCTTAAAGCTGTCAGTAATCGAGTTAGAAAGTTAATTGCGATAACTACATTTCTATTAAAAAGTCGATCACAAGAATTATAAAATTTCTTTTTACAAACACTAATTAATTACCGCTAACCCAATCCTTAAGCTTTCTTCGAATTTATCTTCCAGACCAAGAAACCAGTAATTTGTATGATTGCTTCAAGCAAACTTCCTTCCATTTTCTTTTAATTAAAAATCACAAGATAACTAGATATCTTTGCTGCAATTAAAGTTTTCTGGAAGAAGTCTGAGTATCTGCATTCCTCGTCACATTATGATACGTAATCAATGGCAGAATAGATCAAATTGCGCTGCTAACTATTTTCCACGTGATTTTTATTTATGTAAAATAAACGAAAGTAACCATGTATTAAAAGTCTTTATGGTAAGCAGAAATATTGCTCTGTTTATTAATTCGATGACCTACTAATCAATATTAATTGATAGAAAAAGTAGTATCAGAAATATTATAAAATAGAAACACTTATTAAAACAAAAAGTGTGTAAATTCGTATGTGCCTTGTACGGTTCATAATTAACTAAAAACATGTTTGATCATAACAGAGGATTAATGAGGTTAAAATGAAGGATAGCCTTAAATGCCAAATATTCGTTTACTTAAATCTTAAATCAATGATATATTAATAAAATAATTAGGTTCTCGCGCAGTCGTTTAAAAGTTAAATTATTCGAAAGGTCGAATCTAGTAAAGTACACTGGAAATACGAATTTGTTGAATTACTTACTAAGACGGGATAGCTTGTATGCGTCCGCGGTATTAATTACGTCCACGAAAACCTGCAACTCAAACTTCCGAGTCGTGTTGTTTTTGTTGTGGTTCAACGTTGCAAATTTGAACGCTGATTGAACTTCGTCGGTGCCTTGCTCGAAAATTGCACCTGAAAATAGAAAATAGGAGCAATTATATATATACTCTATAAAAAAATAGCTTAAAGTAATGAACTGAAAAATTTCACCAGTTTTTAGATTGTAGATATAACAATATAAACACAATGGATATGAACGTGACAAATTTCTGAATTCGCTGATTTAAGGGAATATTGAAAATATGGATTGTATAATACGAGTCTTTATCATATTATCACCTATACACCAGCTAATATTAATGTTGTAGAAATATTATTATGTTATTTACAAGTAAAAGTAAAGATTTTTTTACAAAGAACTTTAATACTTTGTATTTTTAAATACAGTATCAAACGTTATTATTTTGTCAAGAGCATCGAATAGATGTGTAGGTGTTGCAATACATACACAATTTTAAAACTATGCATGGTTAAGAATAAACTGTTAGAAAGGGGAGTATATTGACGTTACTGGAAATTACAAGAGTACGTTGAAGTTGATTAAATTTACCTGTTCAAAGAAAATTTACATATTCTTTAACGATGTCGATATCCTCATTTACTCGTTACCTGATATTTTCAAATAAAAAGTTACTTCGTTCCATATGTTTACAAAAAACGGAAGTGGTAATTATTGGTTTTCCAGTTTTTATTTACTTACCTAAATTATCTATAATTTAATACTGTACCGAATGGCAGTTTGGTTTCATGTATTCATTATTTTCTTTCACTACAGTAAAATAATAGCAGAGTGCAATTAAATTACATGAATGCCGGACAAAGCTATTGATACTATGTATATAAATAACAACATAGAAAACATTTTAAATGAAAAATAATTTTACTATTACAAATAAATAAGTTCGACATTCCAAACAAGAAAATATAAAATAATTATTGCTTCATTTATTTGTTTCTAAATATAATTCATAAAGAATTCTACTATTTCATATATATTTGATTGATTTTCAAAATAATGATTAACTTTTCTGTTTCAAATAATTGATGTAGACATTGCAGACAAAGATTATAGAATTATTTGAACCTATAAATAATAACGAATTTACCAGTTAAACAACTATTTGCATGAGAATTCATTTAAATATTGCCCAGTCTGATATTCCAATTTTTCGAGTAGGCGTTCCATATAGGATCGCGATCACGTATCGCGGTTATTAACAAAGAAAAGGCGTGGTTTTCAGGGAGAAAATACGATCACCCTCGAATACAGAGAAATAGGGTGCAATAATCCGACGCAGCACCCTGTATCAGATGTATGATCGCACAGTGGTCCGTTTGCTAGTGGTTCGCATATGGCACAGTAGTACGAGCCAACGTCTGCTCAGCCACTGTCGGCACACGACCCTCGTGTAATTACGTCGATCCATTCGCCGTTAATAGTCGGTAATACGCGCCGATATTAATGCTACCACCCATTCGATAGTTTACCCTAAACTCCTCGTATTTTATCGATATTCCGTTAAATTTCTGTTTATGACAACCTTTATTGTCCCCCGCGACTCTGTGATCCTTTGAGTCCTCGTTCAACGGTTTCCAGAACGTTACTCTTACTTTGAGAATTGGGAATCGACTCGCTGTACTATACGGCATCAAGGTAATGGTTCAAAATATAAATTATATAATATTATAATAGGGTTTTTAAGAAATATTTTAAAATTTTGATTTTAAAGAAACCCCTAAGTGCGTGAAATATGTGATTCTATTATTTTATTAATTCGTCCACAAATGTATTTAGAAGTACTAATTCGTAGTAATTCAAAATGTGAATTATATAATATTAATAATTTAAAAAGTTTACCAAGAGGTGTTTTAAAATTTCAGATTTCAGTAAAACACAAATAGCATGGAATATACCAAATTTTTGTATTTTAACACTTTATCTACCAGTCTATTTGCTTCGTATCATCAATACTACTTCATTGCATTTTTTTTTAAATCGTTGGAATTAGAAATGTTGCTTGAAGCAACCAAGGATCATTAACAATTCAAGGTTTATTAAAAATCTTCTACTTTCATGGGGTTGTTATTGTACCTCTCTATCATTTTTCAATTTAGAAATACCAACATTTCACAAAATATGTACTCTAATCTTCAAAACGATAAACAAAGCTACAGATAATAATTCATAACTTGATAAGTAGAAATTTATCATAATATTCAGCTATATTCTTTAAAACCCCCTAATTCCATAGCTACTCCTATAGAATAACATTTTATCCTATTTATCTTTTCGACCGAGTCAAATTTTGAAAAATTCAAGAACGAAGGAATAAATTGTGGAGTGTTTTTCTGATGTACCGAACAAACAAGCAGTTGCGTCGTATTGAAATGATTTTCTTCGCGACTATGGAAGCTGCGCCGCTGAATTTGACTTTGTTCCAAATGTTTCTGTTTCTTTCCGAAATGAGAGAACTTTTTACACGCCTCCGGGAATGGTGCATGGTGTAACGTTATGTAATATTCTAGGATTATTCTTATTCCTCTCTCGCTTTCTTTCGTACTGCGTCTCTGTTGCAATCACGTTCCACGCTTCACAATTCCTTCCTCGCTTGTGAGTTCTGAGAATACTTAAAGAACCGCGTATCACTACACCGGTTGGTAACTGTATGAAGTCGATCGTCAAAGAAGTGTCCCTTGCGAACAAGTAGCCGACAAATCCAATATTTAAACGCTATTTTCTCTTGAATTCTTTATATACAACGTCTTTTTAAAGTTATCGTTTTTATGTCGAAATTTCGAGGTAAAGAAAGCTGTTTGATCTAATTTACAGAGAGAAATTGTTTACTCCCAGTCTTTTCTTAATTATTTTCTGTACATTTATTGTTTTGGAAATATACTTAAAATTTAGGTGAACGAATTATTCGAAACAGGTGAATTATTTAAAAATAGCAACACTAGAGAGCATTATTTGTAGCTTTATCAACTTGCGTGTGTTGCAATTTCTATACTAACTTTATTTCAGTGGATATTCGAAACAGTTAAGTATTTTTCTGGGTGGGTGAGAGTGTATCTATCAACCCATACTAGAATAAATCAATGAAAGATAAAACTAACGAAGTGGAGTCACTTAAAAAACAAAATATACAAGTCAGTATTCTAAAAGAATTGAAAGCATAAACTAGTCTACATGTTTAGAGCACTAAATTGTTTATTTTCTTTGATGTGGAACTACTGCTAAGTACATGGCTACCTCCATGAATTGATAGCGCAGTCAACGAGGAGTATGGCAAATTGCAAAATTGATACAAGTGGAACTGTAAACATTGTTTGGTACTCAAGACGTTGACGGTTCGCGGAGCAAGTTTGTAATAGCGTAGTTGGGAGAAGTTTGATGAGCTACGGTCATGAAGTTGCGCGTCAACTATCAGCCATTTATGATCTAACGTGTCTCAGATTTCCTCGGCGTGGCACCATGTATGCAGGTAGTTAAAGCTACGACAGTTTTCAGAAATTCCACAATTCTACAAGAAAACAAGTAACATGACTCATAATTTACATTTGATCTTCCTTTCCATTCTTTGCACCATTCAACACAACGAAAAATTGTCTCAATGATTTGTTATTATAAATATTGCTATCTACTAATACTGTCTATGAAGATAATTTCAATTCTTATCGATAGAATTTCACAAATTCTTTTCAGCAGAAATATTTGAAATGCGAATCATCATTCTTGGATTATTAATTGTTTAATAAAGGCTATAGATGGCAAAAGGTTCTTAAATCATTCGAGATAGTAATTATTTAATGTGTGCAACGGTAACTGCAAACATATTTAAAGTTTCTCTGACTTTTGAACCATTACAAATAAATAAAACTGAATCACCAAATGTCCCTATTCCAAAGGAATTTTTAAAATATCATGAAATTAATTCCGATTGCAATTTCTGTTGTATAATAAATGAATACTAAATCGAATTCTCCACGATCACCAAGTACATTAAGTACTTCGATTCGATTATTTCTTATAAATTTGTAATTTTACACAGTTTATATACATTATAAAATACAATATTAAATAAAATATAAAATATAAAATATAAACCATAAACCTTCATGGTAGTTACAGTTCTTAAATCAATTTGTAACTTTTGTTAGAATCGATCCATGCAGGGTAGGTGTTCTAATATTACTTATCGCCCGCGGTGTACTTTCATTTAAGTTTTGATTCTTTTTCTATATCTGTGCATATATGAATATACATAAACGTCCGCAGTCTTTTCGTGAGACTCGGTGAAGATAGAGTCGATAGAAAACGAGCAATCAGGCGAAATCACGGGGAGAATCATGAATTCCTGCAATGACACTGCAGTCTTCGAACGATCATAAGAAAACCCAGTTATCAAGAAACACGTATTCCACGCAAAGTTACTTTTAAATACCAATCTGGGTACACCTGTTTATCACTGCAAGCGTTGACAGATGGGGCGCCGCCGCGCGTCTATTGATTGGTGCCCAGACTCCCCACCAGCCTCTCACACTCACATCGATTCCCCTCTCTTGCCCCTCACGAGCGCTGTTCTTCGTCCTCCTTCATCCCTCTAGCTTCAATATTCATTTGCCGTCTCCCTTTTCCTCTCCTTTTTCCTGTCCTTCATATTTTTCCATCGCTAGCAATGCCTTTTCTTCACTGAATGCGCTCAGACATTGGTATTCGCCGATGTTCAACCCCTAACGCATTTTTACATCTCCCCTTTTACCTTCTTCTGTTCGTTCCAACATCGTTTACCTGCACCGTTTCTAACGACCGATTTTTTCGCGCATTTGTTATCGTTCCAGGTGTTAAGTGTTCGCGGTAAAAATTCTTCGCCCCGAACTTCGCGAGGATTTTGCGCGTAGTGCGGTCAGTAATTACTCTTCGAAGAACCATCCCTTTTCGGGAAAAACCAAATAAGAGTTCGTTTAAAACAGTTTCATTTCTAGCACTCAACACTCGCGCTAACAAGGTTACGTTTTCCCTTCTCTGGAAATAAGTCAATTCTACTTTAAACTTTGTGTTACTTTCTTCTTAC